GGCAGGAAGTCAATTCTGTGCCCCGGGGCCGCCTGCGTAACCCAACGACAAGGCGATCAGGAGAGGCACTCGCCTCCTTAAATTACCTTCAATTATTAAACTACCCCCCAAAATGCAAGATGAAGACCACGATTTAAAGGTGAAAACTCCCCGCATCCCTCCCCAGGAAGGAAAACCTCAGCACAGGGAGGATGGAGGCGGAGGATCCCTCGTCAGCACCGTGGAGCCAATTCCAGTTCCCCCTCTACGGCGCCAGCTTTTCCTCACCGTGCACCGGGAGGCCGTAGGGTTTGTTGATCACCACGATCTCCTCGTTCTGGTAGACGGTTCCCTGCTTCAGCACTTTGGCCAGGACGTTGGGGTGAACCCGCTGCAGCTGCTTGCTCAGCGTGACGAGCTCCCGGACCCGCCTCTGCACTGGGTCGTTGGGGACCTGAGTGGACAACCAGACGCTGTGGGTGAACGGCTGCTCCTCCAACAAATCCCTCACCTTTCTCCTGCTTGGCAGTGGCGTTTCTGAGCAGGACCGTAACACGCAAAGGCCATGTGCTGCCCACTGATCCCACTCCATCCTCCGGCTCAATGGGATCTGGTTCGGCCACTCCCAGGGCTGATCACCCTCAAACCCCGCTCCAGATCCAGCCCTGGGGAGGGAAAGCCCACAGGGCCCGTGGTAGCGCCCGGCTGTGTGGCACGGGGAGCTGAATTTTTGACATAAAGCACAGAATCACAGAATCGCTCGGTTGGAAAAGCCCTCTGAGATCATCACGTCCAACCGTTCCTGTCTACCCCCTAAACCATATCCTTAAGTACCTCGTCTACCTGCTCTTTAAACACATCCAGGGATGGTGACTCCACCACCTCCCTGGGCAGCCTGTGCCAGCTTCTGACGACCCTCTCAGTAAAGAACTTCCTCCTTAGCTCTAACCTGAACCTCCCTTGGCACAGCTTGGGGCCGTTTCCCCTTGTTCTATCCCCCATCACCTGGGAGAAGAGCCCAGCACCCACCTCTCCACAAGCTCCCTTGAGGCAGTTGGAGGTGGTGATGAGGTCTCCCCTCAGCCTTCTCTTCTCCAGGCTGAACAAGCCCAGTTCCCTCAGCCGCTCCTCATCAGCCTTGTTCTCCAGAGCCCTCCCCATCCTTGTGGCTCTTCTCTGAACACGCTCCAGAATCTCAACATCCTTCTTCTAGTGAGGGGCCCAGAACTGAACACAGCACTCGAGGTGCGGCCTCACCAGTGCCGAGTACAGGGGGATTTGCCCTCCCTAACGCCTGTAACCTTGAAGAAAAGCTACAAAACTGGTAACAGGCCAAGCATCCAGCCCAAATAGGCGTGATTTTGTACTAATTAATTAGTAACTAACTCATTAGTTTTTGGCTGAGTGCACGCCGGGAGCGCGGCGCGGTGCACGCCGGGAGTTGCAGTCCCGTCCCTCAGGGCCCGGCCCGGCCGCGGCCCCGCTCCCCGCT